TTGTTTATTTAATCATTGCTTTAACATTTGGGTTGTAAACTGTGGGTTTGAAATTGCTAAGAATTTGCAATCGTCATTCATTTTAATTTGAAATGGTGAAATACAGGGGAGAATATTTTTTTAGATTTATATCTTTTCTTAAGTAATCATGTGATGGTTGTTAAGGAAATAATAATTTGTTTATGATAAATTTTAAAACCATTATTTTTCAAATGGCTCATTTCCCTACATATCTTTTTGCTTCTCTACGTCACTTTCTTTATTGAGATGTTTATAATTTGAATTGAATAGATAGTAGGACCTGGTAGATCAAGAACTCAACTGTTTTTGATAAATAGAATTTACATTTATTTCAATAATGGTTTGTCTTACATTGCTAGACCTCAACAGTGCTTAACTTCAAAGTAGGAAACAATTGAATTTTATATCAGACTCAGGCCTGTGGCCCAGAGCCCCAAAAGATATTCAAAAAATACTAAATTTGTCAAAAAATGAAATTAAAATATAAAAAATGATATGATTAATCTATACGCAAATAATTGTCAAAGAGTACATGAACATGAAAATGTGGAAGCCATTCAAATTTTGGATAGCCCAAAGTGGCTAAGAAGGTTAAAGTCAACCTAGACATTTGAATGAGTATAAAGCTATGTAAATATATTTGCCACTGCTGGTGCCTTGTGACTTTGTAATAGGACAGTATTGAGGGCAGGTGTAAATAATATTTTAGTCTAGATTTGTTTTAATGTAAACTAGTGAACTACTGCTGAAGAACAACAAATAAAATAATCAAGTATAACAGTACAAAAAATTATCCATTATTTTAAGAAAAAAATGTATTCACAAATACTGCAGTAACATAGTAGATTGCAGTAACACTGCACTGTATCTACGTATGGGGATACACAATTACAGTGCACCAAGAAGAAAAACTGTTTCATAACGCCAAACATTAATAGGCAGCTGGGCTCTTCCTTGGAGCCTGGCTGTCACATGACATTTCCTGCATCATAAGTAGTGACACTCCTAAAAAAAGAAATTAGTCAAAATGTGCAGTATGAAAAAACACTTGCACCTTTGCATTTTTCGATCATCATTTAAACCGTTTCACTGTTTTTGTATTTTTCCTGAACATTTATGTGAATGTCAACAGCATTGTCTGTAACAATGTTTACTCTGAAAACTCATAAACCAATAAAAGCTTAATTAGTGGGGGAGAAATAAACTGCACCTCTGAATGAGTAAATTGTTATTTCCTGGATGACCTTTGAACGAAATAAATAGTAATGTTATTCTGAAAAATCCATAATAAATAGTTTTTTTAGAAATAACTTTCAACTTCATACAGACTACTAACTTGATTTTCTTTTTACTTGACGAGTTTATAACTCAAAATTCTGTTTTTGACGTATGTGTTCTATTTGAAATATTATTGCATGTTTGTGGAGACTACTTTTGATTTTGATGAATTTCTTTCTGGAACAAATTTCTTCATGTAAATACATGGGTAAATACCAATTTTTAATACTCTCGCTCACATGACCATCAAAATGTGACAAGAATTCTGAATCTTCACTGTAGGAACTCTCAGCATTGTGTGCTACATTACAGTACATTCGACTGCACCATACATCTATTGTTAAAGGGAGGGGGGTCCTAGAATTTTCGTTCCTTACTTTCTTTTTTTTTTTTTAATAAATTGTTTGATATATGCATTGTTTGCAACTAATACACATATTGTAGGCTTTGTGGAAGAGTTTGGTTTGATTCTCTGACCTCTGACAGTCATTCTTAACTAGTTTAAAGTCATGAAGGTGGACTTGTCATAGAAGCCATTACAGGATACAAATAGGTGATCAATGTTAGAAATTTTAAAACGGTTTCATCAATATTGAAGGAATATAAGTTGAATGAGAGGGTGGTGAAGAGTGAAATGCAATGACATGTACATTATTGGCTAACAATTGAATTAGAGGAGTCCAACCTTTTGCACCCATACGGCATATCTGAGATGACATAAGCAAATTGTGCGTTGGCTCGGAGGGTTTTCGTGCTTCGCACTTCCGTCTGCTCGGTCATTCTTTCATGGTCTTATAAGCAGACGTTTACATTTTATTCAACTGGCATTGCACAGTATTGAACTCAATCATTATTCTTTTTGCTATAACTTGACAATGAACTGTATATTCGAATAATATTTTAAAAAAAAAATAACAATTATTGAAAATCACATTCCAAATTGATTTATTTTGTAGGTCATTTATTGATTGTACAATTTCGTAAATAAACAACTAAATACAATGCAAGAAAACAATTATTTTATTTTTAATAGAGAGGTCAATGTATACGGAAATGAATTTTGTTTTGCATGTGAAACAGTTCAAAACATTCACCTGGATGGAGGCCACTTGTCAAGACAAGTTTGACCAAAGAATGACAAGAATAAGTGTGGCAAAACATTTGTATCAGATAGTATTTGTATATATCTCTGATTCATGATACTGTCTCAATTTTGGATGGAGATCTTATCTGGAAATATGAAGGAAATCCATCGTCTCTAGGATGCCTTCTGACCTACAGGGCAAGCTACCTTCCTGAAAGTTCCGAGCATATAGCCCTCGATGCCATGTCTTCTTAAAGATGCCGTCCGACATATAGAACGTTCATGTTACCGAGCGTTTCCAATTGCAATGAGTTAATAATCTTACCATTTTTAATATTGAAAGTTTTTACGCAGATTGCCAGATTGCCTAATGTTTTGCATCAGCTTTATGTGTAGTCACATAAATTTGTAACACAAAGCAATTTGCTTTTTTTTTTTTTTTTTTTTTTTCTTTTTTTTTCTTTTCTTTTTCTTTTCTATAGTTTACTTTGCTCCATTGTGTTCCATTGTGCTTTGCTTCTGTGTGCTTTGCTGTTGTGCTATGTCTGTGGTTTGCACTGAGCTGTACCCTCCTAACACGGGGTAAGAATCCCGTGTTGCAGACGCAGGGACCCATCTCTCCTCATTGCATCGTGCCTCTGCCCAACTCCAATGGCATGCAGCTACTGTTGTGCTACGACAATGAAGGAGTCTACGTTAATACTTACGGCAAGGTGAGAATCTCTTCATGTTTTCAAACCTTTAAAAAAAATAGTTTAAGTCAGTTGATCAATTTCATATGTAATACATTTGTTTTTGAATAAAACACCTGTAATACGCCAAGTGGTGTTAATAATTTTTCTGTATGGAGGTTCAGTATACCCAACTATTATCTTGAAGAATTGAAATGAAACATTTGAGACTTTCATTAGAGCTTGTTTAATACTTTTAATTTCAATCCCATAATTGTTCATATTTATTGCCAAATTAATACCACTTGAAAGAAAAATAACATACTCCAAAATACAAAAGTTTTGTGACCTTTTGGGTTACCTTGGTATTTTTAGTCAAATTATTCTTGATCCCAGTCATATAAATACAGTAAAACTTGCTCAATGCAGAACGTGTATCATGAGGAAATCTGTCTAGTGTGAACTTAAATCCTGCCAATCACAAATTCTACAGTATTACATTGCATATAGCAGAATTTTGTCTAACAAAAGAATTTCTGGTCCCTTGATATTACACTTTAAACAAGTTTTACTATATAATCAAATATTTCAGTATGTTGGTTCTATTTCAAAAATGCTAAATTTTCATTACTGATGTTTTGTATATACATTTGTCTAAAAAAATCATATTCTTTATTTTCTTTGCATACTTTGTATATTCTTGCAAAGTATATATTTATTATTTAAATATTTTCAGGTATCAAAGAATATTGTTCTCCAATGGGGGGAAATGCCAACCTCAGTAGCATATATTGGCACTGGCCAAATAATGGGATGGGGCAATAAGGCTATTGAGATCCGATCTGTTGAGACTGGCCATTTAGATGGAGTATTCATGCACAAGAAGTCGCAAAGGCTCAAGTTCCTGTGTGAACGCAATGACAAAGTAAGTAATACATGTACTTGATTAAGTAAATTTTATTGCAGTGACATATTATTTGTCTGTTTAAGGATGCTGAATTGTAATGAGAAAAAATTGAATAATCCACAATGTTCATTAAAATGTGTGCAGTATAAAACATTGATGTTTGTGCTATTCTTTGTTCCTGCTTGTTAATACCACGAAACTTCAAAGAAACACAATGGATGACCCATCATGAAATGATTGGCCACCCTGAATCTGACAGAAATAATATTTCAATTCTGAAAGCAGGATCTAATTTAAAAAAAACCTCTTAAAAACTGATAAAACATGCTATTGAATGTGCAACTTCCCCTTACACTGATCGTACATACATCCCTTACACCTTTCAATATCTTTAGTGGCTCAGTCAATGAAAGCAAAGTATGTAATTATTCCCATTTTTGGAGCGAGATATGGCAAATTCCCCCAAAACTGGCATGTTGTACTTGTTGAAGACTGAAAATTGGTCTGCAGCATAAAAGTTTTGTTTGCCATACAAATGATCTCCCAAAATCTTTGTCCATGATTTTAAGACACATGTTAAAAAAAAACTCTCGCATTATGACATTAAGTGATCTCTTTACATCTCAAATTTGACAGGGCATTTTAGGTTTTGTAATGTTTCTTTTATTCAAGAAATATATATTTTGCCCAACTAATTACACCTCTTCATACATCGTGGAGATCTTAATTTTCTTGAACATTACAAATGCATGAAAAGCATGAGCTCCTAATCACACACGAAGTGGTGTCAGTGCCTCCATATTACACATCTTCTCTTCAAAATACAGAGGAATTGTAAGAGCATATCCCACCTGAGGACAATGTCTTACAGAGGAATGTGTGTGGGAGAAAATAAGATGAAGTTGCACTTCATTATTGCAACACTCTGTCAGTTAGCTTAACTAAGCAGACTGCAACCAAAAAAGTCCACTCAAAGCAAATAAATGACCATTGTCCATCATGTATTGATTCACAAAATATTACTTGTGTGTGCTTGCAGGTTTTCTTCTCATCGGCCAAAGGTGGCTCTTCGTGCCAGATCTATTTTATGACACTGAATAAGCCTGGCATGGCCAACTGGTGATAGCAGTCAAGCTGCACCACAAATACTCACTTCATTGGCACAACTATCAGCAGAAAACACCAAGGCCCAAGCTTCCCATGCCTGGCAGGCCCAGATTCCCCCATCTTGTCCCTCTTTTTCCCTGGCTGGGCCACACTTTTCAAGTCGGGCCAGTTTCCAAACAATCCTTCAGTTCTGTTTACTCCCAATGAAATGAAACAGGTTTAGCTTTCTGCTCTGTGCCTCTCATTATTCCAACTCATCATTGCCCTTTCAGTTCACTCCTGCACAGTGTATCTCTCAGGGTGTGAAGGTACTGTGGCCTGGCCCAGCCGTGATATTTTGCCCTGGGCTTTGGCCATCAGGGACAGCCGAGCTGGGACCACTTTCATCGTGTGTGCACCTGTATGCAGTGCTTTACTCTTATATACAACAGTAATTAGTAATAACTCGACTCCTTTCTGGAAAATGAACATTTATGGGGTCCACATCTGGGCTCAACAATGCTGAGCTGTGCTGTGGAAGAGGCCTGCATTTACATTGGAGAAAGAATGGACGTATCGAGTTAATCTTCTGTGTATATGCAGGCTGGAGGACATCTTATGTTTGGACCATGTTTGTGTTTCTACTCCGAACATCTGAAAAGAGCTTTGCTTATCAGCCTGGAGGGATGTTTGTTAGTTGTCAGTAGATTTTGAAACTATATTTTGTATACATGTTAAACTTACTTAGCAAAGAATCACCTTGCCTGTGCTGAAATTGCGTACTTAAAAAAACTAATCCTTGTCCCCAACTTTTTGTAAAACAACAATTTTTATACTAGGCACATATGTAATTGGGCTCAGGTTGTTTAAGCTGATACAAGATAAAGCAATTGTTGTTTTTGTAAAATTTAAAAGTACATTTCCCTACAAAGTGAGAAACATCCCAACTTTTTTAGCGTACTGAAGTGCTTTTAAGGTGTTTTGAGTAGAAAGGAAGAGAGGTGTGAACTGCTCTGCTTGCATGGGGTACCCCTTGAAAAATGGGGGTGCAAAGTGTGGTCTGCCTCGGTTACTTGGCTGGTGCAATCAACAAGACTGGACATTTTGTCGTGATGGGAGGGGAAAGCTTGACTTAACAACCTAGTTTTTTTTTTTTTTTAGAATGAGTATGTGGTATATCATTGTCTTATCTTTGTCTTGTTTCTTTGTTGTGTGGTGCACCAGATAATCCTGTGTGACACCTTTTGGTTCTTTTTCATTTACAATGAAATTTTGTTAGCATTTGGAGTTGCATTCTTTGTCAGCAACTCTCATTAACTCTTTTCGGAAAATGTTTCCTTATACCAGTCACTTCACTTTCTGTGCTTTGTTCTCCTTCATGGTTCTGTTTACAGATTTAACCAGCTAGTCATTTCCCATATGGGTAACAATGTGTTTGCAATGTATTTGAAGAACATCACTGTTCTATAATGATGTATAATTTGTTGTAGTCAACTTGTTTTGCTGTATTGTCAGGAAACATTTTGTTGTGCTTTGTAAATTGAACAGTTTAATTTTGCATGTGAGGAAAGAATAATCGAGCAATTTTCATTCTTTTTGTAGGTCTCCTCACAGTTTGTAGTTATCTAACTGTGCTTAGTGAGTCTAGTATTTTTTTTATTTTGTTCTCTACTCAATCTTGTCACATAATTAGTGATAGATTGACTCTGAGAACATGCATCACAGACCTAAAAATTATGCTTTCCAAAAAAGTTTTATTAGAGGAAAGCTTGTAGTCTATGTATACAAAAGCAATTGAAAATTCTCATTAATATAATTGACCTCCAAAATTGCCTGTTTCACATTGGTATACATTATATGAAAACATTTACCAAATTGTACTTTTTGAAATGTTCTTTTCCACATAATTTTGAATTTTTGTTATTCAGCAATTTCAAGCATTAACTATCTATAGCTTTTTCATAAATTTCTAACAATGTAATCTTCTATGGTGCCAAGTTCAGTTCAAGATGGTGCTTTAAAATATTTCTGGTGCTCTGTTTGACAATCTTTTCCCCTTTTCTTAAGTTTAAGTCTCGAATATTCTTCCATTACATTGCTAAGAAAAAGTTTGCAAGAAGCTTTACATTATGTCTGTGCTAACCAAATTTCATTGCAATACACTTGCTCTTCTTTGTAACTGTTCTTGACTTTATATGCATTCTCCAAAGATTTCTTTATTTTTTCACTTTGTTTTGCATAATTGATAATGTTTACGCTGCTGAGATTCCATGTTATGTATATGCATATATATGAATATGTTTACCTATTAGGGACATAGAAAGTGTCTAGCATTGAATATTTGTATAAGATTTTTTTATTATATTATAGATTCTGTATTTAGTGTGAATGTAAAAATATATGAACAAAAGAGTGAATGGTTGTGATGCGTTTCAGTGCATTTCTGGTGTGATTATTATAATTAATAATAATATTCTGTTAGAATGTGTGTGTGAGTGAAAGAGTTTTATTTCAAGGAGGAGAGTGTATCTAAATTTATTAGGACTGAAGATTGTTGACTGGTATTTAAATACATAAATACTTCCAAATAAAAAACACGCAGAACATATATTAGTGAAAACAAAAAAAAAAATTCATACCAGTTGAAATGAGTGTTGTCAGCTGCTAAGAATGGAAACTTTTTTCTAATGCATGCCATCAGATGAGAATAATTATACAATCTGCGATAATGCAAGTTTTCTGTGTGTGTTTCTTCATCAGTATACAGTATATAATATTTCTCTTATATATATGAAAAGTGAAAAGATCATTGGGCATTTTTAGGGAGGGGAAGAATCAATGGTGCATATTACTTTCATTTTTCCTTTGTTTGGAAGATCTTTATGAACAAAAGACATGGTAGAGCCAGTGCTATGAACAAATATTTGGGATGGTTTGAGGTATTGTATTATCAATTATTGTTTAAGTGTTAAACAAAGAACATATTTTTTGTGTTTTTTGTACAAAATGTTTCGGTAAAAAAATGTCTGAACCCAACCATTGAGTGATAAGTGTAGTCGACAATGTTGCTTTTTATACCTATGAGGATAAAAATAAAATCTTTTTCCTGTTAATTGTGTTTGTTTCTTACTTGTAAATAATAGCATGTCTTCAAAATTAAATGACCATCTCTTTTAATAAAATTTTATAGTTGTATATGAATCACAATCATTTCTTAAAATAACAGCAAGTCTTGGAAATTAAAAAACAAATGTTTTTATCTCTGAATTACGATAAGAAATTGGTGCTACAATAGCATATACTTTCTCACATTACTTCTAACTTCTGCAATCTACAAAATGAAGACTTGTACTTTTAAAGCATTCTTTTCTCCATGCACAATGTGAGCCTCGAGAACATTGTTTTATAGTTAGCATTAATTTCAAGCAGAAATTACTGAAAATCATTTGTTATTCAAAATATTGGTATGTTTTACAAAGATTTTTTTTAGAATAAACGGCTTAGTAAAAAAATCATTTCTATCTTCAATATTAGATTTGTAAAGTTAACTTTTTGCAATTTTCAAAAATTCAATGCATGAATTTTGCATTTAAAAATATCTAGCCTTCTTGGGTTTATTTGAGGTTAGTTTCGTAGTTGGAATTACAAATTATTAATTTTAAGGAAATTGTAATCGTGAATAGAGGTTTCACTCGAAGCCTAGTGAGACGCGATAATATTAGAGCAGATGCGAGGGATTTTCCGAATAGCAACAGTCGGGTAACATGCGAAGTTTACACGGACAGCATGCTCATAAATTACACCACACGAGGACCCAGGACTTCCCCTTTTGGAGAAGACTGCGGCATATCAACTGGAAAAACATTACGTACGCTTACGACCAGTAGGTAGTAAATTCCACAAAAGCTCCAGGAATCGCGATTTCTGTACAGTCGCACGTCAATGTGCAGCAGGTAAGGTGACGTACGTTGTACATCACACTCTAGCAAGATCTTAATAGAAAAACAGAGCTAGCCAAATGATGAATTATTAAAGCAATTAAAGTATGAGCGTAACAGGGAAAATTATATTACAAAAGTAACGAAGACGTTACAAATGGTTACCCAGCTTGGGGAATCATGAAATAAGTTGAGTTAAAAATAGTTTATGAATTGGAAAGATACAAGTCTCATTGCAAATTGGCAACGCGGGTCAGGTTCATTTTGGTTACATTAGTTGCAAGTTTCGTGATTAGTTAAAATTAATAGTTACTTTAAACAAATGGGGGGATTTGATAGTGGTGTTCATAGACGGACGCCCGAATTTTGCGTGAAAACTGGCGAGAAAGTACGTGCTGTTCCATGTAACTAACGGTGTTTGCACCATTAGTTACTTGCAAGTTTCGTGAGAAGTTAAAATTGACAGTTACTGAATTTATTTGGGGGGGGGGGGATTTCCCCTCATCCCTCCAGAGGATCCGCTCCTGGTATGGTTTAGGTTAGTGGTGTTCACGGACGGTTTGATAAAAACACTTTTTAGGTATCAAGGGACCCCAAAGTTTCCGTTGAAATCTCGAAATCGTTTTTCCGCAGCATTACGTAACTTTCCCTCTATTACTCCGTATATACGTATGTATACGGGAAATCACTTTTTCCTTTGTGGTTTTCGCTACACGTGCAGTATAGAAAGATTAGAGGGACAATACTATGAATAGTATCATGAAGCTCAACCATATTATTCAAATCGGTGGCCATTTGTCTTAGATAGTTTGGTGTTAATACCATAGACGTCATCTCTCCATCAATATGTGAGATCGGAATTGAAAATAGGACGAAATATTTGAATTTGTAAATAAGCAATATAGTGAACAGTTTTGCCAAAGATTGACACACCTAACATTCGTGAACTTGGTAAAAGCTTATGGTAATTTTAATAGAAGAACTTGATGGAGGTGATAAAAAACCTATATTAAACAACGAGCTTTAAACAGGACACAAAACAAAAATTCACAGATACACACCAACAAAGTGTGACAGGACCGTTACATATCGCCGACGCGTTTTAATATGGAAGTTGAATATAGATCCAGGGATGTACGACAAAATGCTGATGGCAATATATTGATTAAATCAAACTGCAATAGAATATGGTTTTAAAATATCCAAAAATAGAAATATAGAAAAAACCAAAGCTACGGTTTATAAAGTAAAATATCCTGTGAGAACAAATACTGTGATAGATGGAAAAAATATTGAATATGTAAAATATTTTAAATATCTAGGTTGCCACATGTCGTTTGAAATATATATATATATATATATATATATATATATATATATATAATATATATTTGATAAAAGACTAATTAAATTTAGAAATATCTGTACACAGATATCTAAAAAATAAAACAAGGAAAGAAACAACAAAATTCTTCAATGCAGCATCTGTGCCAGTGTTAATGTATGGAGCTGAAGCAAGAGCGACATCAAAAAAAGATAACTCTAAAATCCAGGCAACAAAAATTAAATTTTTGACTCTAGGATATAACACCTTAGATAAAAGGAAAATACGAAGATAAGAAAAAAACTGGGTCGAAGGACTGCTGGAGAAAGTGGTGAAAACATCTAAGAATAATTGCCGATAGTAGATTACCAGCTCTCGCAGTGGACTACAGATGCAGAGGAAGTAGAGATGTAGGAAGGCAGAAATACAAGTGGTCACCGGAACAAGTTCTAGAACCTAACCCTTGAAGTGCAGAAGAAGAAAAAGAATTGCCTTCAAGAAAAACGTGTTAGCCAATCATGTAATACGTTAGTACCGAGTAAGGAACAAGAAAAAGAAAGGGGCCATTCGTAAATGACGAAACGAAAAGGTCATTTTGAATATCCCTATAATGTGCGTTTGAAACCCCCACTAATAAATACCAAACGCTTGCGACCCCCATTTACAAAAAGGAAAAATAAATTATATAACAATGAAAACAATTTGTATTAAGTTTGTGTTATACATTAAAATTAATTATTATTAGAGATAGAATTATTTGGCGCTGCTAACTGCATCTAGTAAGATTGGAGGACAATTTTTACGAGAAGGAAGGCGATAAAATTTCTGACGAGTGCACATGTGGAGGATTCATGGGCGAAAATGTATTGCGTCAATTTCATTGTATTATAGAATATACCTGACAGTGTTTCAAAAATACGGGGCATAATTTCAGGTATGTATTCCTCATATGCAGACAATCAAAATAGTTAATTACAACACGTGTCCGGAAATTCTTCATTACCGACTTATGACCTTCACAACGCTCAAATTCACTTGTATGTTTTTCTTTCCGCAGGTCATTGTCATTACACAAGATGTTCAAAATGTCCAGCTCTTGCTTGAATACAGACCTCACACCGATGTCAAGAGACAAGATTTTTATCTAATTAAATATTTTTTACCTTTCTACTTACCGTTCATAAAATTGTAATCTTGGAAAATCGTCGTCGTCCTAACATAATACCTACTTTTTTCGTTACATATTTTGTACTATATTTCACATTTTGCTATTTCCACAAAATATTATTTTTAATCTATCAATTTTCTTAAATCTATTTCGCATTTTCATGAAAAGAAGTATTTTCAAAAACAAGTTAGTGCTTTTTCCAACATTGTTACCTCGTGCTGTCTGCTCCAGGAACCCTTTGTGAAGCCGCGTGATGTCGTACAGACAGGCTTCAGTTACCTCAATGGTGGGAAGTGCGCGTCAGCGACTGAGACCAGTTTCACCTTTGGATGTTAAAGAAACACCGACACCGCATTTCGTGACCGTTAATCTTAATTTCTGAGTATCTTCGGCGATCGCTGATGTGTAACACTTCGATGAGAATGCTGCATGCTGCAGTGATTTATGGTCAATTGCATCTAGTCTGGCTCCTAAACTACGGTCCTGATTACCAATAGATGATGCTTCTGCTACTGACGAGAAAGTTGTACGGTGCAAAGTGTGCAACAATTTGTACTCTCAAAATATTTTTTGAAATTTTTGTATTTTTAAAAATAATTGTTCAGGAATATTGTATAAATGTAATTTTATATTATGTAAATGCAAGTTTTATTAGTAATGTATTTTCATATTACATTTTATATCCGATTGTACATATTTATTAGATATTCTGAATGTTTTCATTACATATTTATGTATATATTTTGAGGTTTCATACTACATATTTTTCCGGTTTCCACTGATTGACCTGCGTACCCGATCCCAAACTCCCGGAGTATTGCGTTTATCCTCGCAAGATGCCACAATTTGCTAACAAAACGCCACAGTTACGGTGTTACAAGCATCCGAGACGAATACTCCAATGATTTTAAATGTCCCCACAAGTAGAAATGGAGAGGGTTCGAGGGACCAGGTGAGCGAGGAGGTCAAGCGATTGGGCCACCTCTTCCTTTCCATGGATCAAGAAACCTTCAATCCAAGTGACGTCGAGCCGTACGACTGAGGTGTGCAGGAGCGCCATCATGCAAGAAGTGACTGTGTTGACGACTGATCAGTGGAGTGTCTTCATAAAATTGAGGTATCGTGTTTTTTCCAGGAAGTTGTGAACGCCTGCCCCATAAATCTGATTACAAGTACATGGGGTCCAACTAAGTGATCACCAATGATACCGGTCCGTATGTTAAGGGAGAACCACACCTGGTGATGATATTGAATTGAATTAATGCATTATTTTAAGTGGCGAGACTCGGGCCATGAGGCCCGCTCTTCCGTCTGACCATGCAAATTTCGCTACGCTCCTTTCACCAACTAGGAGAGAAAGGAGGTATTTCTTGGGCGAGAAACAGGCGATTTCAATTTAGCTCAGAGGCGTCATTTAGGCTTGAGGATCTTTTACATGCAAGTCAATCAACTAACATGGGACATCCAGCTTTACTTCCCCTCCGAAGGAAGGCGTATGAAGGATATTTTCGCCCTTAAAAATCCACGGCGTCGATCGGCTTTGAATCCGCCACAGCTTGGGTACAACAGTCCGGTACACCATCGGTACACCAGTCCGGCTAACCGTTACACCATCGCCGCGCGCAAGAGATGGAACAGTTGCATGTGGTTTTTATATGCTTATTGTAAAAATTTGTAACGTCATGTCATGTGAATTGTGCTTCATCTGTAAATAAT